TTTTTTTTTTTTTTTATTCAAACCCGGATTTGGACTCTCCTAGTGTACACACCAAGGAAGAGCCTCGAACCCCGGGTGGAGCAAGTTTTTATGGGGTACAGAAAGCAGAGGGGAAGAAGGGTACGAGTACACTTTTTGATTGGTGGTTGGTGATATCATTAGTAAAGGAGGAAGTAAAGGAGGATTTGCATTGGTAGCTGATGATTTCACTAGTAAAGGTGAATTTGGATTGGTACAGGTGAGGGGTGGGGGGGTCCCTTAACCGGGAGCTAGAGTTGGTGCAGCCTGATTACCTGTATTTCAAGGTAATAGAAACTTATTGTTTATTATAGCAGCTGTTTGCCTAAGGTGACTCAGTTTACGGCTTAGTGGCTGTGCAACCTGGGGTGGGGGAGAGGCAGCAGGGAGTGGCCCTGCAGGTTTTCACTGGCAGGAATGGAACTCACGCGGTAAACAGCCAGGAATGGGGCTTGTGCTATAAACAGCCAAGAATGGAGCTTGTGCTGTAAACAACAAAATGGAGCTAGTTTGGCTCTCTCACCACCTCCAGCATATGGGGCCAGCACCCTACTCCTTTGAGCCACGGGCGCCGCCCCTCCTCAACAAACTTTATTCATGCATGCCTTACTTAGGGGTGTCTGGTAATTCTTCAGCCAAGAGCACCCCAAGAACTGAGGACACAGACAGCTGCCCCAAGCCTGACATTCCTACATCTTAAAAAAACACTTAGTAGGACTTAAGTGCTCATTATGTTTTATATGGTGTTTGTGAAGCCAGAAAAGCAGTCTGTGGCTCAAGTGGCTAAGGCACCAGCCACATACACCTAAGGTGGCGGTTCGAATCCAGCCTGGCCCGCCAAACAATGACGGCTGCAACCAAAAATAGCTGGGCATTGTGGCAGGCGCCTGTGGTCCCAGCTACTTGGGAGGTGGAGGCAGAAGACTTGATTGAGCTCAGGAGTTAGAGGTTGCTGTGAGCTTTGATGACATGGCACTCTACCCAGGGGGACAGCTTGAGGCTCTGTCTCAAAAATAAAAAAATAAAAAAAGGAAAGTAGCCTGCAAGACGGAGTCTGAGGAGCTAAGCTGAAGCAGGACAGCTGGCCTAGTCTGTTTAGCCCACATTCTTTCCCACCCCTTCCTGACCCTGTGATTATCTAGTTAAGGTTTCACAATGATTGGGAGGATGTTTGTCTCAGGAAATTGGAGAAAGTAGTCACACATAGACAACAGATGTTGTGATATGGGTAAAGGTTACTTGGTGATATGTTTTCTCTGACGAGTCTCTTAGATATTTTATTAAAATGAAAATTACCTTTCTGTTGTTTAAACATTTTGCATTGCGAGAATAGAGACTACTTTGATGTTACTCCCTATTGGATAAAGTTAACATTTTCTAGGTTTGTTTCCTTGTATTTCTTTATAAAATTTATTAGAATTGGGGCCAGGCAAGATGGATGGCTCATGCCTATAATTCCCAGCACATGGGAGGCTGAGGCCAGTAGATTGCCTGAGCTCACCGGTTCCAGACCAGCCTGAGCCAGAGCTAGACCTCGTCTCTAAAAATAGCTGGGCATTGTGGCAGGCACCTGTAGTCCCAGCTACTAGGGAGGCTGAGGCAAGAGAATCACTTGAGCTCAAGAGTCTGAAGTTGCAGTGAGCTATGACGCCATGGTACTCACTCTACCAAGGGCTACAAAGTGAGATTCTGTCTAAATAAATTAAATTAAATTAAATTAAGTTTGATCAGTTTAAGAAGTTAAAAAAAGGAATAAAAAAAAAAGGGTTAACAAAATCGGTCCTGTATCTTTTCTCAAAGCCAAGCAAAAATGCACTGGATGAATCCTATTGTGTCTGGTGGATCGACAATCCCAACCCCAAACCAACACGTATCAAACAGAACGATGTTACAACTACAGTAACAGATTAAAGAAGAAAAATTACATGATCATCTCAAAGATAAATACAGCAGGTGTGCATGGGAATCACAGCATGAGCACCCGGGAAGGTGCGGCAGTGGCTGCCGGCTGTAGCCCTGGGTTGCTCTGCCCCTAAGAGGTCAGTAGCAGCTCTGGCCAGCAGAGCCGGGTCTCCTCGGCCAAGAGGCCACTAAGAGGGAGTAGAACGCACCCCAGGAGACGGGGAGGCCGGAGCCCGGGCGGCGGCGGTGGGCCTGCAGGGCCAGTGGAGCCCCAGGGCTGCGGGCGCTCACCCTCGGGTCGCTGCGGGGCGGCGGAGGAAGTTTGTCCGGAACCGAGGCCAGCGCCCTGCCCCGCGGCCCCCGCCTGGAGGTGCGCTGTCGCCGAGGCCAGGAGCCGCCTGGCTGCACCAGTTACCCGGCGGCGGCGCTGGGGGGGATCCTCGCGGGGCAGAGGCGGCTGCCGGCTGGGGTGCGCCTGTCGCTCTATGTCCCCGCGGGGGCTCAACCTTTAACCAGATACCCAGCTGGGCGCCACTGACCCAGCGTCTGGCCGTGCCGCCATCCCACAGAGCCGAGGCCACCCTCCACCGGCCGCGCCATCGTCCCACGGGCCAATGTGTCCTACAGAGCCTGCCCGGTCAGCCCCCACAGGCCGCACTGTCGTCCCAGGAGCCAACCAGTCCCTGAGCCGTCCTGCTGGCGGAGCGGCCGTGCCGCCGCTTCCCTGGCTGTGTCACTTCCCCGGCTGTGCCGCTTCCCCTCCCTGCCCACGGGCCGCCCCGCCGCCCCGCGGCCTGTCTGTCCCCAGAGGCCGCGCCACTGTCCACGGCGTGCCGTCCCCCGCCTCCAGGCCTGCGACGCGCTCCGAGCCAGCGCCTTCCCCGACCTCTCCGAGCTTGGCCCGCGGGCTTGGCGGCGCATTTGTGGGGGCGACAGCGAAACACGCCTGTACTGTGCCCTGGCGTCGCCGACAGCCTCCCCTGCGCTTAGTTTTCATGCCAACTCCGGAGCTGGGGATTCCGCCGTAACTCACATCTTGCCACTCACTTTTCCTCCAACCCAACTTGGGAACTTCATTCTCTCAGGCAGGGGTGTTGGCCCGGAGCAAGATTTCGCGTGTGGATTCCAAGTCACCGTGCTACGAGGTCCAGAGAACCCGAAGAGGGTAAAACACGCCTGACCTAGGGTGACCAGGACAGCAAGCAGCGTGTTCTGAGCCTCTTGGGTGAGAAAGACTCTTTTGCAAGCATCACCATGAAAGAACGTGTTTATAGATTTCACGGACCAAAGTTTTGAACTAGAACTTTTACGTTTTCACATTTCTCTAGCATGTAAGTGAAAATGGTTTTTGTTGTTGTTGTTTTGGTTTTTTGAGACAAAGTCTCAATTTGTTTCCTGGGTAGAGTGCAGCAACCTCAAACTCTTGGGCATAAGCGATTCTCTTGCCTCAGCCTTCCAAGTAGCTGGGACAACAGGTGCCTGCCACTGTGCCGGGCTATTTTTGTTGTTGCAGTTGTCCTTGTTGTTCAGTTGGCCTGGGCCAGGTTTGAACCCGACAGCCTGGGTGCATGTGGCCGGCGCCCTTCTCAGTGAGCTACAGGCTATGAAGTCATGGAATATACATTTGGCAGGTAAATCATCCTAGTTAACAGCTCAACAGCGCTCTCCACAAAGTATTCAGGAAATACACACATTTTTGAAGGAAAGTTTGCCCACATTTTAGTAAGAACCTTAAATGTTGCGGGAAGTTTCTTCTCTGAGGTTGGTGACGCAAGGTGTAGATTTGCACTGAAATTGTCTGTAATAAAGGGTGGCTACCACTCTTATGGCAGATAGCAAAAATCTTTATTTCTTCCCAGCTTAAATAGCCAGTGCAGCATGAACGTGTTGTTAATGAATATTCATACCATTACCTCACTAACATATTGTAAAAAACAGACTAACTTTTTAGTAAGACACATTCTTCTAAGTTATCTATTATACTCAAAATAGTAGCCGTGAAGAAGCAGACTGTTAACTCCCTGGCCCGCTTTTTGATAGATATGGAAACTGCTAAGGGGAATAAAGGCCGATTGTTTCCCTACTCTTTGCAGCCTCAAGCCATCTGGAGGCAGTATCTTAACCTTGCAAAACCACAATTTGGAGATCTTGGTGACATGCCAGCGACACGCCTACATGCCCCTGCCCCCTGGTCTGGGCACAGGAATTTTACCTCATTGGTGTCGAGCCATATGGAGTTCTGCCCCAGTCTCTCCTGAATTGTGCCAGGCAAGATTTGTACATGCTCACTCTCAGAAACGGCAGAGGCAAAGACACGTATGCTTTTCACCTGTACTTAAATATGTATACTGAATTTGGAAAGACACAAAATGCTCATGATCTTACATAAATATTCTGCTTAAAATTTTAATTTAGGGCAGGGGGAGGTAGCTCAGGCCTGTAATCCCAGTACTCTGGGAGGCAGAGATGGTGGATTGCCTGAGCTCAGGAGTTGGAGACCAGCCTGAGCTAGAGAGAGACCCCATGTCTAAAAAAATAGCTGAGCATTGTGATGGGTACCTGTAGTCCCAGCTACTTGGGAGGCTGAGGCAGGAGGATCACTTGAGCCCAGGAGTTGAGGTTGCTGTGAGCTAAAGATACCACAACACTGTACCCAGGGCCACAAAGTGAGACTCTGTCTCAAAAATAAAAAAACAAAAAACATTTAACTTAGAGGGAGAGGTGGCTCACGCCTTAATCTTAGCACTCTGGGAAGCCAAGGCAGGTGGACATTGCTTGAGCTTAGGTGTTTTACAGCAGCCTGAGCAAGAGTGAAACCTGTCAGTACTAAAAATAGAAAAATGAGTGAGTGTGGTGGAGGATGCCTGTAGTCCCAGCTGCTCAGGAGGCTCTGGCAAGAGGATTGCTTGAGCCCAAGAGTTTGAGGTGGCCGTGAGCTGTGACACCACTACACTCCACCAATGGTAAGAGTGAGACTTGTCACAAAAAATAAACTATAAATAAAAAGAAGACTATGTATTTTCCCCAGATGTTTCTTTCATTCATTTGTTTCTGGTGGCAACAGAAAACTTTACACTCCAATTCCTCAAACCACTGTTAATCCATTTTCTGCAGGCGCAGGCAGGCCTTCCATCCACATAGGGGCGCTGTCGCACACCCTAACACCCACACCTTATCCCTGCTATAGGGCTCTGCCTTCAGGCGGTGGCCAGAGGACTTCAGAGCCTGTGTAGAGAGCACAGCTTCTCCACCCAAACAAAACCTGGCTGTAGGGCATAATACTTAGGAAGATTATTTAAAGGACATTTTGTATATTCATTTCTCCAAAACATCCCTAAGGTTTAGGCTTAGATGGACTTGATTACTCAGAAAGCTGTTCGTGTCTGTGCGAGTGTACACATGTGTCACTTTCTCTTGGTTTAGAGCACAACCCTTGAGACAGCTGTGTGGACCTCTGTTACCAGAGGAGGAGAGTCTGGCTGCCCATCACTGTCAGTCAATAAACAGAGACGGGGATAGGTCTACCCAACTTAGTCAGAACAGAAGGCCAGAGATCCTGGAGAACAGCAAGAGTAGCATTTCCAAGACTGTTCTGCTTTTCCATTTTCAAATTACAGTTTTATACATAATGGTTCACAAGCAAAAATCACGATAACCGTTATTTTAATAATCAGCACAACTGGCTCGGCGCCTATAGCTCAACCGGCTAAGGCGCCAGCCACGTACACCTAAGGTGGCGGGTTCGAATCCCCA